TCTGCACTATAACCATTATTACTTGCCATCTCGTTTGACAAGTTGAACAAATGCAAACGAGGTCTTATAGCAATAGTAAATCTGGCTACAATTCGAATAAATAAATACTCATTCAGTACATACATGTCCCAATTTAGCTGTACACAACAGTCTCCATTCATTACTGGCACTCATAATTGGAGAGCACCAACAAAAGCTTAACTGTCAGTACATTGCCTGTCAACCCTACAACCCTCCGGGCTAAATCCTTTTATATTACCTTTTTATTGCCTTTGGAATGACTTCTATACAATAAGTGAACAAAAGCGAGAAATTATGCAGAGGAACTTTTGTCCCTAGAAAGGGCAGCCACGCCCCATCGTGCAAAGGCAAAACGCTGGCCGTCATATAAAACAAGTCTATTTGTTTCCCTACTGGTACTGCTTCCATTGTCGCCGTCCCCGTGTTAACAACACTGCAACCACGAGTATAGTGAACGCTAGAAGGGAAGACGGAGCTTTGATATCACCGTCTTCAACTTTCCTGTCTGGCAACTTTCTGTACTTTCTTCGAACAAAAATGCTTTCCAAAAAACCGACCCCCGGTATATTGTCAAACATGTTAATAATAAAGTTAGCTCTTGGGATGACTTATACAGATTGGACTCACAGCATGGTGTCCCTCAGTGTCCTTGCTTTTTATTCACTGATTGTTATTCACCAGACTGTCATTGTATACCCATACATGCTGCGTTTTATAATAGTAACTCTCTGTAAGGATTATTGTGATGAGAAACTTGAAAACTAACTCACAAGTTGGGTCCTCAGACGTTCGGGCAAGTAATTCTAATTCAATGTAGTCTCTTTTATCTACAGTATATCACCCCAGTGGGAAAACTGAAAACTTATTTTTGTCCAGTCAGAAAGGTGACTCCTGGTTGTAAACATAATACCAATTATACTAGTCCCAATATAAAGAAAACCGTACGCTCTTCATCTTTTTTTGTTGACAATAACAATAACGGTGAGGTTCTCTATTAAATAGACTGGACGACTTAGATCTGCTTCATTTCACTGGGGCCAATTATCGAGCGAAGAAATTGCGTCTTAAAAGTGAGATGTCACATGCCATTTAAGTAATATTTTATCTTATGAGAAACTTGTAGAAGTTTTTGAAATCTGCATAAATCATTTTTTTCGGGAGCTATATTAATGTGCAAATAGCAGCACGCACAGGCTGTAAACATATATAGAGTGGTATCAAAGAGCAGCCTTCGGCAGAGTGCAGTCAGACACCATGCTTGCCGACAGTTCTATATCGACTAACCTAGAGAATACCCGACTTGTTGATTGTAAAGCAATGTTTTATTTCTAATCGAGGCTCGCTGTGCATATGGTAGCATTGTAGAAGACTAGTATCTGGAGGCAATGGTCCGTCATGGCATATACGCAGGTGTTCTCATTAGAAGCTGGGTTTTCCGCTAGATTAGCGATATACTTTCTCCTCGCAGCACAGGGGCACAAAGGTTGCCGACTCCGCTTCGACTTCCTCCCTGCTCTGTTCTGGTAGGATAAAGAAAGTAAAAGCTTAAGGAAAAAGATGGGGCTTGACATACAGGTGGGTGCCGGTTCCCGCTGATTTGCTGTCAAATTGACCGGTAAAGTAGGTCTATTCAAAGAAATCGCGTCAGTCACCCTCACCAAATTTCTTCTAGATGTGTAAATTAAAAGCAATAAATAACTAAATTAACTAATTGTTAATTTGTAACCAGATTTGAAGTGGGTGAAATATAAGAAGACAATAATTAGACTGTGTCCCGTTCCACAAAAACGAACTGCATGAAATGGACAAGGGGCGCACCCTGATTTCTTTCTTCTCTAAGTTTGTTGAAATAAGCAGAGTTGATTAAAAGCGTGTGACGTTTGCTGACATTCAAATAACAATGTTTATTTTAGTACTCTGAATAAAATGAGTAAACACAGTATAACATCTTAAGAAGAACAAACTTTTCCATCTACAGCTGTGTCTCGTTCCCCTTCTCTCTTGTTCCCGGGAGATCATTTTTTTATAAAAAAAAAACCTCGATAATGTTAAATAGTAGGCTACTTGCTGCATGGTTTAGAAACGCTCAGCTCACCACCATCATGTTTGACATGGCACGTTGACATGTGTTCAACTCAAACAGTTTGTGAGATTTTTTACACCTATTTCACACGTTTAGTGTTTACTAACCACATCGCTTATAAGGACACCCGGCTAATCCCGTTCTTGCTAAGCAACGCGCTGGGCGAGGTGTGGCACGGCATCTCAAAACTGATTGCACACAATTGGCTGCCATACATCGCTTAGTCTCTTCACTAAATTTTTCACGTACCACTGGATTTTATGGCTGGTGAGATTCGGAGAAAGGTGGCCAAATACTGGGCACAAATAGCTGCATTATTGGCCAATAAGCACGGTTCAGTAGCGCTAATGACCTCGGTACATTTTAGAAGACTCTTTCGGGCATACAGAACACGCCGACAAACACCGAACTCTACGGCAGTGACACACACATACTAATTTATATATCGTTTATTTCTGACCAGAACACAATCACATTTCTATATTCAGTTCCCATGTAAATATAATATTATATATTTATTGTGATAAAATTATAATAATACCTATCAATTTCAATAAATTTTAAAAATGATAAAACATACCACGGCATCGTGTTGTTTTGATTAAACAACTAAATTAAGACTCGGATCATTTTTGTCGCTAGCGCCACAGTAATTAACTATACAGACTAAGCATGTATCTGAGGGATAACTTTAGCAGTTCACTCCCAACTCAATTCCGTATCGTGCCACTCCAGAAAATACCTCAAACCCAACTAATGTTTCATTTCGTTCTCAACGCTAAGAATGGGGTTCGCGCGTCGCTTTTCAAGACGTGTGTGAAAGTTTTGATAGATAGACGAGTTGTATTTCACTCTGAAAATCCCTTTGTTGTATCAGCGTTGCACCTATAAAGAAGTCAGCCAAACAAAACACTGCCTTACAACCAATCAAACCCCAATGGAAACAACAACATACTCTATTTTGCCATTTCACATTTATCCAAACATGCCTTAAATTAAACTATCTCAGGTCAATAATGAACAGATTTCAAATTATCCCAGAAAAAGCGAAAAACGAGCGCCACATGAAAGAATCGTTGCCAGATTCATTTTAATTGTGTGTCGTCTCGTTTGTTAGTAAGTCAGTTTTATATGCCAGTAAGAAGTGGACGTCCAAAGCATGTTTTCTTTGTTCCTTTAACACGTTTGAAGATCGACTCCGTTGTCACAAACAATTTTCAAACTCTAACAAATAATCATATAAGTTTGGCTGTTCTCTTCGTTGTCGCTCTTCCCCAAGTACAAATGAGTAGACAAATTTACCGTTGCTACTATGAATGTATTGTTCATGTACTTTGAATTATACTGCAATAGTATCTGACTAATAGTAAAATATTCCACAATTACCATGTAAACTGCTGATTGCGATATTAACAAACGTCCAGGCTCACGCCCTGTACTAAATGGATACATTGAGGCAATTTGAATAAATCATTCGGGCATTATGGGCTACCGATAAAAACAATACTCACATATGCCGTTATACCACTGCCACTATGACGTGGTTTGCATAATTATGATATTTGTAATCCGACAACATTAAACACATATTGTCGCTTTCAAAAGTTCACACATGCATAGCAAGGTGAGTGTAGTAAGTCTTGCTTATCATAGCCGTCTAAGGTGACAGTAGAACTGAGAGAGATTTATAGGCACTTAACGAGGAGGGCGGGTGTTTATTGCATTCAATGCCCGCCCTGATGGCCAATCTATTTGCCTTTTACTGTGTTGTGTATCTTACACACGTACTGAAGCCAAACTAACGAGCTATACTCTCTGTTTGGAAAAGTCACAAAACGTGTATTGAGAAGTGTAATTCTATTGATAGCTACTCGCCCAGGGCTAGCTGAACTGTCCCTCTTCTACTATCTCCTCACCCTTTTGCCTTTTTTTTTAATTGTGAGATGTTCTAAATGAGTGGGGATTCGCTGTGTAAAGCACACTCGACGGCACTCTTAATGCAGACAGGAGCGATATATCGGGTATTAAACAAACTGTAGATGTTCTGAACCGATGATATAATTTTCAAGTTATCAACTCACGTCCCATAAACACATAATGTTTTACTAATTATCGTGCCGGTCGAGATCATCTATCAATCTGTCAATTTTTGCCACTATTGACTCAACTACTTTGGAACACATTAGGCAGTAGAGTATGTGGACACACGTACCGAATACTACTGTTGCAATGTTTATTTTCTGCGAAGACGTCGATGCTAGCTTCTAGTGTTACCCATTTATACCGATCCACACTCTCCGGGACACCGTTGGACAGGATCCGGTTGGGAGTAGTTTTTATGCCGCTGGTGATGTACATGTACGTACCTAGGTATTTTACCACCGTGACACTCGATCGAATCAAAGTAAATCCGCCGATTGTCGATGAAGTGTTAGAGTAAAACTGTTGATACAATATTTTAATACATATACAATTAACACCACGAGTATATGCAATGTGTTTAAAACCTTGCACTAAATGTTTGAATGAAAAAGCCAACGAATGTCTGCGTACTTATACGTCCAAATTACGACACAAAACACAGCATGTGTGAATTGTACGTTCTATCACTCTACTGTGTGACAATCCTTGACATGAGGATAATTAAAGTAATTAACGATGCACAGTTCTCACTCAATTATCGTAATTTTATACTTATGCTCTTTCCCTGGCAGCTCCCCAGGCTCCAAACCATGCATACGTTTCATTTGAATACAACTCGAAAAACACACAATAGCCGTGACACCAGCTCCCATTGGTCCTTGGGCTGGTAATAACCACTAGTTTGTTAATGTCATGCTAAACTGTTAACAGAGGCCAATCCCACTCCTCTGTTGAAACTGGTAACTCAATCGACCAGGCGCTCTGTACACGGGTCAGAAGGTACGGCATAAGTTGAGCCGCTCTTGAGACTCTCTCGTCGAGTCGGGAACCACGTTGGCAACGCACACCGCCCAGTCACCGCGCTCCCACAATAACGACATAAGACCACACTCTTGTCAACTAAAACACAGGACACTGGAGATATGAACAAGACAGCCACTACTTCAAGTATGTTTTATTTCATTTCATTCTTTACATTCTATATGGGGGTTATCTACCGGACGAACTGGCAATATTGGGTTTGTTGTGATTGTACGGGAATATGATAGCCTGTAAGTCAGTTTGGTTAATATTCATGATTGATCTTATCAGTGAAATCAAAATAAGTGCCGACGTCCAAATCGTTTGTCAATGCCCGCTCTGTGTTTATACCTGTATATATCTCCACATTTTAAATTAGCAGACATATTCTGAAAATATCACAGCAAGTTGTCGTGTTTATTTGAAGTATGATGTGGTCCAATCAATAATACACTGTATGCCAAATGAAAACGGCTCAATACGAAAAACAAATTATCGGTTTTCGTTTTAAATCCAAAATGTAGTTTTAACTGGCATAACTTTTACGTGCATGTATAAATTTACTTTAGGTAAACCCACAAAGTGCAAAAAAAAAAAAAAAGAGAATTGCAAGTTTTGGTCAATAACACCAAATTATCTACATAGCTTGATATATTGTAAAGTGTAACAGCTTCTAAGATGACTTTTGCGGTTTAGGTTGTTTTTGTTTTGTTTTCGACCAAAACAATGATGACTAAAGTGAAATGAGAGATATCATAATCCACAATAGAAAACTTCGATGTCCCATTTGGCTACTAGGTATTTACTCACATTTGGACTCACATTACATAAATATCTTCTGTTTTTCTAACATGTGCCTTGAACACGGTACGTTGTTACGGCTTTGCTTCCGTTCAGTTTCAGCCACACGGGAACACCAGGTACATATCTTAGGAGTTCAAACTAAAATGTAATGACATGTTCTTAAAATTGTTCTAAAAAAATTGGGCGGACGCTTAATATTGAATGATACAGTTAAAATTTAGAACTTCAATATATTTTATTAATTTTAAAAGCGAGTCACATAAAAGCAACATTTGACGGGATTGTGTAGATAAAGGAAAAGGCAAAGTTAAGTAGATATCTTGTAACTCCCGCTTTAAAAGACCCAGTGTGGAGAGTGTGAAAAGTGGTTTTATAAGAATACAACGAGAACATGAATACAGCCACACATGTCTTACAGTTTTTACGGTGTTTAGTTTCTAGTGTAATATCGTGATTAAGTCAGTGATGCCAGTGGATTGCTACCATCCAGAGTGATGTTAATCCCGTGTTACCTGCTATTTCACAGTTTAAATACTTCTTCTTAAATTCAAAATTTCAATTGACGTGATAAATGAACATATTTCGAGATCAGCCAAAAAACGTTCAATATTGCAGAAAAATCGAAAAAGCAAACTTAACAGAAAATCGTATGATAGATTTTCATAAAATGTACTGCATTGTGTCATCCGGGAAATCAAGTTAATAAAGTGCAGGATATCGTGGATAGATTGCCCGCTGCTACCACTTTGCGATGTGAAATGTGCAACATTGTGCAATATGAATCTCATTAAGTAGCCCATTCAGCCACACTGATTGACTTGTTGTCGTTTTTATATATCAATTAATATTTCAGAATTAATCTTAATTGTGATACTGATACTAATCAATAGATACAACTGAGGTGACGTGTTGTAAGGTTACTTAAAACTTGCATGACGTCACCAGTTGAAACCAACACGCCACCAAAACAACAATTCTGGTATTAATTTGAAACACGCTCTATATTGTAATAACACGTTTTAAAATGTCTGTTTTAATGAAATTTACATTCGGGTTTGGAAACGATAGTTTATATTTTTATATAAGTTGCCGAACTCACTGTTACGTCGGCAGCCACCACAGAGACGAGCTATTAGTTTGTGATGTCATAAACAGAAATATTAGTTTAATAATAAATATACTCGGTGATATCAAAGTGAAAATCGATAATTTTGTCGGTATTACTTTGTAATCTACCGCCACGAGTAGTATATGCGTGTAGCAATTCCGTCCCCATTTACTTATTTTAAATGAACTGAAATTAATATTAAGTTTGTCAGCGTAATGTTTAAAAAACAACAACAACTTACAATCGAAGTGTTCAGTGCTGCTTTATTAGATACACATGGTTATGTCAACCACCAGTTGATATCTTGCATGGCTGTAACGATACAAATCTCTTCACACGAATCAGTTCAACTCCGGCCGCGTATGATCCCTTTGCTTTCAACCATGAATGATTCTAGAAATCTTAAACATGGAAAAATCGATATCTTAATATATGGCAGCTTGTCGGATTTCACCGTATGTTATGTCTGTGGTATACCAAATCGACATTGTTAATACTGAAATTAACGGCATCTGTTTTTTCATTGCAATATATCGATCGAATCAGACATAGTTTACATATTAATTTTATCCAATACAGAAAGTCAGATAGTATTTCAATACAACGCTTACGCTAAATAAAACACATAATCGATATATACTATAAAATAAACGAATAGATTAAAAAAAGAATAAGAATTAAAAAAATAATAGTTCATAGTATTTCCGATTTAAATTCCGACATTTTCGTAATGGCGTATACATACACCATGTGTCGTCCGTGGCGTAAATTAAATCAGTGTGTGTAGTTCAAAGCCTCTAATTTGTAATATAGGCGTTGGTGGTATATTGTACGAGCGGGAATATATTGGTTGCGGCAAGCCTATACATACAGGGAGTTATGTTGGCGACGTTAGCGAACACCCCAGCATTTTTCATAACCATTTCAATTTATTCGGGAAACACTACAGTGCTAATTAGAAGAGAATTACAATTTCTAATACGAAGAATTTTCAAAAAAAAATGTCATAGCTTAACAACTTGAAAGGCGCAACAGGTTGCAGTTACCTGTTGATATGGATAGATACATTATACGATACTCGTCAACGGGGAACCAGAATAATCATAGCGATATTTTTGCCTGGGCCAAACAGTAGCACAGACCTCGTCTCGATACTGGTGCAGTCCCGCGCCTCGGCGTCGACGTCAGAGCAAACCCCGGTACGCATACCTATGACTCGACCTCCGTGTCGTCAAGTAAATTGCTTATTTTTTTCATTTAAGATGATTTTCACGAGATAAATCCATATATGTGACGTGTTATCGATAACATCATTTAAGGGTCACAATATCAATGCACAGAACACCTGACATATTAGCATAGTTAGTTTACGCTACCCGAAGTGAGTAAATCGAATAACCATTTTCATCAGTCGATATTCGATATCAACATGTGCGCGATCGATGTCATTTTATCCAATAGAATCATTGAAAGTTGGCAGTTTTTATGCAGATGTTTTTGTACATTTACGTCACAGCAGACGTTTCAATTGAAAAAGTCAAAAATATAATATTTTCATTCATTCATGTCTAAAAGTATCGTATATGGGCCAAAGCAAGATTGCACACTTAAATTAACTTAAATGACGTGATTGGAAGTTTATTTTAATTTAATTTGTCAACATTTTTAGGGTTTCAATACACAACGAGGTGTTTTTATAATGAAGTTTTCATGAACTTATTATCAGTGTTGTTTATGTGTTTCATATTTTCCCCCAATGTGTGGCACAGATATCACCATAGAGACACACCAAACATGCCTACGAGCATGGACTCAATCCCAGGTAGTAAATATATCCCTGGGGTTAATATTTAGCCATACTTATAATGGTTTGTTGATAGAAAATGAACTAACGGTAATATATCATAGATAACCCGATGGGTGTGTCAAATCCCATTATGAGGGAAACCTTTTCCCTATAACATACTTCTATATCGAATTTTCTAATGAGAATTGCTTTAATGGGTATTATTTTCGGCTCCCGCGGTACTGGGATATGTGTAAACAATTCATTTTGTTTACAAAGCCCATGATGAAGAGGCTCACTGCGTACGACTCTGGTTTGTCGGGTAGCAAAGAAAAAAGTCGACAAGTCGTTCTATTTGTTACTTTCTTATGTTGATATGTTAAAATAACACAATGTGACTTATTTCATTGGAAAACTCACCACCTCAGCATCGCCATTACCTATGTTATTACTGAATACGGACTAAGACTGTTCAAATGTCAATGACTTGTTTTGTTTCTATTGAGCGTGTTGGTATCTGTCACTTCTTGTCTGTGGCCGTCTGTGTTGTGTTTTTACAGCCATTGAAAAAGTCGGAATGTTTTGTCTTTAATAGAAGGCTACACAGCGAGCCTCTGATACAGACCTGTATGTCCCGTCGTCTTATCAGATTGCCACACTACGCAACGTGTCAGTGTATTTTTTTCAATGAATCAAATTTTGTGTTCTTGGGTAGGTTTCACTTGCAATTCCATGTCCATTCCTATACTTATTGCACAATTGGTTTATTAGTTTCTTCCCAATCAGGCAAGACAGTGGGACAATTAAAAGCGCTAATTGTACACGCCTTCTCATCTCCTCTCAAATCTTCAGACAATAGTACTGGCAGCTGTACATTGGGGATCACGCTGTTTGAGCTACGTGCTATTGATTAAAACAATTGAGACTACACGACAGATTGATATGTCACAAAATGGTTAAACACGTGGTAGACAAAACACTATCTTGAAAACATTTAGTCACTGCAATTAAACTCTATGTGTTAGTACTTTTGTAAGATGTAGTCATGTATGGGTATTAAGAACGTTTCACGAAATGTATTTTCCATTTTCAAATATGCGAAGTGTTTAAGTATCGGAATTATATCTAAACACAGTACTATCTTAACGTTGGATTAACTGGCTATATATATACTGTAACAATAAAATAGCAACAGATGTGAAAATTAAATCATATTTTGTTTTTAAACAGGATTCCAATTTAGACAATAATAAGATGTGGTAGCACACTGTTCTGCTTATTGTCACTTTAGCATTTTAAACAATTCCACTTAAATTCTCATCATGAAAATATTTTCTGTATCATGGAATTTCTTAAGAAATCTTACTGAATTCTACCGTCACGCATTTCAATGAGATGCCATCGTTCAACATGTATGGTATACGGAGGGATTATACAAGGCTTATTATAGGTTTAACAAGATTTATAGAAAAGCGTTATTACCAGGTCCCTGTACAGGAGAAGGCTGTTTACTTAACGGATATGTGAACAACTGAGTTGTAATCAAATATGCTAATTTTCAAGTGACTTCGTGGTGGTCAATAACCGTGTCTTTGTAAGAACACTGTAGACTGACTCTTTCTCAACACTCCCAACGTAAGTTTTCAAAACACGCATTGTAGTCATTCTCACAGTCACCAACAATTCAGGTGAATATCGTTAATTTATGTAATTTTGGTCTTAGTCAGTAAACAGTGTTATTTACCCCTCCCCCTCCCCCTTTTGCAATAGCGCATATACTGACCACGTTTTATGAGCTTTGAGACGAGTGCCGAAATTAACAGGCGCTATTTTATTAAGGGCATGATTCTAAAGGTTGCAATGTAATTACATGTGACTGAAACATGTTCCACTTATACGTATGTGTCAGTGGAGGGACACCTGTGGATTTTAGTGAAGTGGCTTAACGTACTCATATCCGCCCAAAATGTAAAACATTTGCCTTTAGTTATTGAATTTCATATTCTATTCAGATTTCATAAAAAATATTTGTAATTGTATAATATTACTTTAACCTAAAATTTAATTAAATTGTAATTTTTATGCGTAGTTTTAAAAATAATTATTTTCAGTAATGGTTTCCCCACTGGTAGTCTACTACTGCTTCATACAATTATATTTCAACTTTCAAATTAATGCCGCGCGTGTTGGCTTTTTGGAATGCAAAGATTATTTGTTTGCTGTCATGATAGTATTCTTTCGGTTCACTTGATTCTCATCAAATTGAAATTTATTCATGCAACGTATTTAGTTTTTTCGATTGCTTTCACTCTGACACTTATTGTTTTTACCACTGCGACCAGTGACAGTCATATCGTAAATACTGTGGGTCAGTGTGTGATTAATCCCGGTCTTGTCTCGAACACTGCGAGGCGTATCGTTGTGGGTAAATACGCTGCAGTTTACGTGTTTCTTGTTTGTCCATAAACTGTACTATACCAGTTTAATTTTGTTTTTCCTAAATAAATATCCTTATTTATCCAAAGGTCGTATCTTGGACATCCCGTGCAAAGTATGTGGTGATCGGAGTTCTGGTAAACACTACGGTGTGTATGCGTGTGATGGATGCAGCGGATTCTTTAAACGAAGTATTCGACGGAACCGACAGTATGTATGTAAGAATAAAGGCAATGGTCCATGTCCAATTGATAAAACACACAGAAATCAATGTAGAGCATGCCGACTGAAAAAATGTGTACAAGTCGATATGAACAAAGACGGTAAGATGTGTTCCATTTATAAGTTTAAACAGGATTGTTTTACTGTCCCCGGAAATGCGGGCCGTATTTTTATTTGATTTTTATTATGAATATTGTATGTTAATTGTTGCGACTTAATTTTTACTTAAACGCGATTCACACCATATTTGCGATGGCACAAAAATAGTACAAAGCGCTCGACACAGCTCAGTGCCTTACATATGACGGTAATGAAGTTGTCATTAACCTGCGTGTCTAAATGAGGTAGTGATTGTAAGACGTGGTGTATGCATATCTCGTGAATAAGTCAACGTGCTAGCAATAGCTAATGAATACCGTCTATGAAACCACCAGTGAAAAAATGTAATTTGGAAATTAATTACATGCTGGACTGTTGAGTTGTTCGTTTGATGTGCACTATACGACCCCAGACTGGGTTACCATGGAAATATGAAAACTATTACCATTTTTCTCGTCTGGATTTTTCTCCCTCTCGGCAGGATGCTTTGGTGGATTTTTTAAACTCCATTACAACGATGTGCGTCCGTCTACTGCTGTTTTTGAACGGCTAACGCAGAGAATCGACGCAAACTTATTCTGTTATTATAGCTATTTCCTGACAAATTGTGCATATTGAAGCGAATAGACGAAATTTTATTTCTTTAAATAAATATTTCCTAGCGCATTGCGGCTAACGTGGCGACCGACGTAATCTTATTTTGTGTAAAACATTATCCAAATGCATTCTGGTCAACACGACAAATTGTAATAATCTTTACTCATTAAATAAATCAGTTGACATATATAATTTATAGCGGAAATTGTACTACAAAATGTCATTCCCCAGCATGCAATTCTGGTTACGATTGCAAAAAAATCTCCGGTCTTAGTATACAAATATGGAACCTGGATTTGGACATCTGCCATGGTGGGAACAAACTGTAAAATCTTGAACATGACTCGAAGGGATATGCGAAGTTTGTTTCTAGAGGGGAAGCTTTCAATAAAATATCACGGTATTCTCTCACCTTTTCCAACGCGCATGCTAAATCGTGACCGGAGGAAGTCGCCTCCTGGAAAGTCAGTTCAAACATTATTGTGGTTGCTTTTGCCGTGAGGGAAAGAAAAGTTAAGCCCGGCTTGGAAGATGAGAGCCTATCACATTTCTAATGTCAGGAGACTGAGTAGTTTCGCAATTCAGTGAAAACAAGCAAAGATCTGTATATGGCATTGTTTGAGTAAAGTACATAGAAAAAGCAGTTTGCTGGAGGTAAAGTTTAGATACCGTCGTATCACAGCAGCCGCCGTATTACGGTCTACTTTCAAATCAGCAAATCCTAATGATACTTGTGGCATGAATAAGAAGGTGTTCTTGTGAGTTTTGATTACTTTATGCAGCAAGTCTATAAAATTGAGAAGTGCTCACTGTGATGGGAAATATGAATCGGTCAGTGGTGTTGTGGGGTGGATTTGAAGACCCCTACAGAGACTGAATTATTGAAAAGGCATTCGTTAAATCGCTATAGCGGGAAAGCTACACTTCTACAATTACCATTTAACTGGTTTTCCTAAACGAATCAACGTTATCAAATCCATTTTGTCTAGCTATTGTACCATTCAGTACCGGAAGGCAGTGATTAAAATAACCAATCACAGAAAAGCGTCAATTTATTCCTAATGTCTATAAGTAACAAAATAATAACACAGGTGGTTCGGAAAGATGTACGAAACACGTACAGCTAATCACGATCAAGTATATATTACTTGCTAGTGGGTAGACATATTCCACGCCAATAATTGATAGTTGGTAGACATAGTGTTCACCAGTAATTGCTAGTTGGTAGATATAGTCCATGCCAATAATTGACAGTTGGTGGACATAGTGTACACCAGTAATTGCTAGTTGGTAGATATAGTCCATGCCAATAATTGACAATTGGTAGGCATAGTGTACACCAGTAATTGCTAGTTGGTAGATATAGTCCACGCCAATAATTGATAGTTGGTAGACATAGTGTACACCAGTAATTGCTAGTTGGTAGATATAGTCCATGCCGATAATTGACAGTTGGTGGACATAGTGTACACCAGTGATTGCT